CTTTTTTACCCCACTGTATGTACTGTTACCACATCTTTGTCTCTGTGATTAGTAACTTCCTGTTTTAATTTGGAAGTCTTTTGCCTTCTGTGTTGTGCTTATAGTTTTACTTCCCCTATCACTGTTTAGTTTCACTGCTTTCTTCTCACTGATCAGTTTTCCTAATTTAGCCCTCAATGTGCTCCGATGTGTGTATAACCTGTCTTTCACTTTAAGCTGACGGTATCATACTGTTGCCTACTTATGTATTTCCCTGTTATTGTGGATTTTGTTTCATGTATTTCCGTTTACTGTTTGTCTCTGCATTTATAGACCTTTTCCGTCTTTTTCAACCAAATGGCTCTCATTATGTTTTGAACCTTGTCCTGTCACATTTTGGATGTGGGTTCTAACATTCTACACTTCACTAAGATGACAGAACAAGGCAACCAGAACATGAATGCAGAAGATATAGCAATCCTTTCCAAGGACCTGAAGGAGGAATTTAGGAAGCTTTTTGGAATTTCTACCTAGATTTTTGGATCTACAGATATTAAAAGTCTGTGGGCTGAAGGCCAGCAAATCCCATGCTGATGATGCTGGTGCCATTGCCAGCCCCCATCACAGCCCAGTCTCAAAATGGGCTCTGCCTCTAGGGGACTCTCATCCCTACCATTGATAATGGGCTCCAACCAAGCTTTTGGAGGGGTCTCCTCTGCCACTGTCAGCCTCCTCCCAACCCCCCCTGAATGATCATGACCTTTATCACCAGGTGCCATTCACCCCCTCCAAAGGGTCTCCAACCTGGGTATTGCTGGCTGTCATCACTGGCCACCTCCTCGGCCATGCTGGCCCCCGGGCTCACTCCGAGAACTGTCTCTCTTCATTTGGGTAAACCCATAAAACTGCTTCTCTGCTTTGCCCTGCAGCCAGGCCAACCCACAGGACTGTCTTTGTACCTTGCATCACCTTTGGACCAGCTCTCTGAACATATTTTCCTTTCCCTTTGGTCTCCTCTGCCTCTTGATTCTGCACGTAGGCCTTTCTTTTCCAGCTTTTGGACTCTATGGTTTTGTTTTAGTAAGACACTTGTTTGTGTCTAACAAGCTTTTTTTATTTCCACATGTCAAGTCCAATTACAACCATCTACAAGTTTTTTGAAATACATCTGATAAGATTATGGAATGAAGAGTACAAAGATTTTGCTTCAATGTGGGGATGAAATGAATCTTATTTAGAAGTGTAATATACTAGAGGAAAGCCATCTCTGTAATGATCTTGGATATCAGGAGTAAACCACAGAACTGGCACACCAAATCCAGTGCCAATTAAAGGCCCTGTACTGTACTTGGGAGTGGCTGAGTCATATGTTAACTACACAGCATCAAACCCACAGGCTCCAAGGCAGACTCCCGCCATATGTTTTGCAATCCCACTATTTAAACTATAGAAAGGATCTTATGCTCAAAATAGATGAGCTCTATAATCAGGGCAACATGTGTGACCCTCAGATAGTGAAGGAGGGAGTACAAAGTACAGAGCAGCAAACTGTATTTAAAATGATCAAAAATAGATACAGTACATTTTCCCTTACCCACCCAGCCACCACTGAGCAGCCACTTGTTCTCCAGAAGGAAAGGCTACAGCGTATTACATAGGTTATATGTAATGTTATAGTTCTCTTTTCATATGAGCTAATCTAGTTACTTTAATCACTTTAGCTAAAGCATAATGATGTTGGTCAGCATGTCTGCATAGTAACCCTTTATAATAACACTGATCAATAAACAGAAAAATGTATAGGTAATTAAACTTTACTTCACTGTTAACAAATAATTAGACCATGATTTTTCTTTAGATTATTTATTTATGTATTAGATGAATTTAAAAATTGGAGAAAAACATCTTTCTACCACAGGCCATGATCTATTGATGATGATTACATCTTGACCAAAACTTGAGACATGTTTTCAGCTCACGCATTAGTAAAAAAAAGCAGGTGTGATTATTTATCAAAGTATCAATGGCTCGATTCCTGTTTCTTTAGACAACATATCATATTGTTCCTGGACAAGATAGTGAACCCAAATTGCCCCTGAAACGTCCACTGGAGTGTGTGTAATAGATTAAAAGCCATGCAATAAAGTTCTGAATGAGCGCGTTTTTAATTTTAAATTTTTAAATTTATAACAGTGCTGTTAGCGTTTCGCTAAGAGCATCAAAGCACTACATTAAGTGCCATTACAAAGTATTTGCCCCCTTACTGATTTCCTAGTTTTTGCATATTTCTAACACTTACACATTTCAGATCATCAAATACATTTAGACAAAGATAAGATATTGATAAATCACAGATTTGTGTTTGAAAAGTTTGTATGCACAATTTGCACACTGATTTTTTGTGTATGCACTGCTGAGCCCCACTGACAAACACACTGAGAACTTCTGGCTTAAAAAAACTCAAAATGAAGGTTTGGGAGTGGCCAAGTCAATGTCTGGACACAAATTAATACGGAGATGCTATGGCCTGACCTTAAACAGGTCCTCCATGTTCAAACATTTCCAACATAACAGAATTAAAAACATTTTGCACGTAAGAGTAAGTCAAACTTTCTCCACAGCTGTGTGAAATAGTCTTTCCCAGTTATTCCAAATACTTGATTGTGGTTTCTGTTGTCAAGGAGCGCACAAAAGGTTATTAGGTTTGGGGGACAATTACTTTTTCAGACAGGTTTGGATGGCTTTTTTTTCCATTAATAAATTAAATGATTTAAAAACTTTATTTAGTATTTACTCAGCTTATCTTTGTCTTGCAATAGAATTTGTTTGATGATCTTTGTGTTGTATAATCATCAGCACTGTATAATATATGTTATCTGAAAATAATCATTTATTTATTCTGTGATCATGTAACAGTGTGGACTACAACTTGTTATAGTTTAATATTTCATTTACAATTCAAATTCCTTTAGTGTAAACAGTGTGATGCTGCATACAACATAGTACAAACACTTACAGGATTGTTGTTCCTTGGCCCGGCTCGATGTTTTGCATGATTGACACCAAACGGTGACACCATCTTCCAGCAACTTCAGAACCCGACGCTTCTGCCAGCGAGGCGAGCGAACCTTCCCATGTAATGATTTAATATGTTACAATACATGTAATATATAGCATTCACAAACTACTTCTAACCGCTACAAATGGTTTATAATTATTGATACCTTCACCATACTAGAGCCCTGCAGCATCTGCCTCACATCTTCATCATTTTGCACTCCTAGAAAGCATAGAGACAAAATGATTAAAATTATGTTATATACACTATATTTATATACTGTATTTTGGTGTGTATAAAATAGCAGTGAGCATACACCTAATTATAATACGATTCAAATTCAGTAGCACTGGGATAGGCTGAAAAAAGAACAGGGAGGGCATAAAGAGAGGGAAAAGAGATCAGAGTTAAAATTAGAGGCTAGTGTGTATACATCTGCCACACCACAGCTGCTCATGTGGGTGCACTGTAATTGAAATATATCTTGGGTGGGTGGACAGAGAAAAATGGAAGGAAAGACAACATTTGGAGCTATTACAAACTTGGGCCCCCCCAAAAAAGTAAAAAAAAGTAACACCTCCAGAAATATGCCTCATAGCTGAATGGATATGCTGCTAGAGGAGATTCTTTATTATACAGTTATTCATTATAAAAAAAAAAATGTGTGCAGAGCTGTAATTTTGCACCAGGCCACGAGCAATCCTTGTAGGGTTAGTTCTTATAACTTGGACATAGTTCTCTCCGTTTTGTATGTCAATACTTGAAAGTACAAACTGTCAAAATTCTTGGTTTCCCGTTTGTGGGTTCTTTTGTAGAATTTTATGAACTCTACAGCACGGAAGGAACCTTTCAGTGACGTAAGTGTATGGTGATTAGTCTAGAGCCCAAAAGGTGGACTGCAGTCTGAATCCGGATCCAAACACTATTCTGTATGGACCCATTAGATTTGATTATTGGTACAAGTTTTCTTGTATGCATGTACAGCATGGTTATTTTAATCTGTACTGCTATTTTCATTTTTTTGACAGTCAGTGTGCGCACACAGCAAACATAGACCAGTCACACAGCAAACATAGACCAGTCACATGGATTGTAAGCCATTCAATGTGATGTTACTCAGCCAATCAGGTCATTTTTTCAAAGCAACGTTCCAAACTAGACTTTTTCTTTTTTAAAATTAAGGACTTTATATGTAAGACAACTCTTTCAAGAGTTCTTTATTTCATTTTGAATGTAAAAGAACATTATTTTATTTGTGCCACTCCAAAAATTTATTTCTGTCCACTATGAGATGAAGGAGAACAACAGCCTGATACCTGCAGGCCTGACAACAGCAGATGTATCACTGCTGTAACACCTGTAACATTCAGCAGTCGCCTCATTGTTCTGACACACACAACAAAACTATTGACTACACTACACACTAACTACACAAGATTTGCGCTAAACGTCGCAAGTCTCTCACATCTCAATGCACCGCCGTCACTCCTAAAACTTCCCCCCGTGTCTTAACAACTAGATGCCACGTTGCCATATCATTTTTTTGATTGGTAGACATGGTACTTTTTTCGACCAATAGGAAAGGGTGGGGGTTGGTTTTGTTTTTGCTGACAGGCGGAGAGTGCTTTGAGCGTTTTCCTTATAAAACGCCGTTTTTACCATTTCTTCCCGCAGTAAATATAAATAACGACAGTATTCAGGAAGAAAACCAAACATTGCATATATATATATTTTTTATCATAACTCTGGTTTTACGTGGTCTATCAACACAATTTATGAATGAATCGCATCATTGGCTGAACTATGGGATCAGGTGGCATCGTTCTAAACACATACACGAGCAGCCAGTCACTTACTGACTAACACTGCAAAACAGAATTGTTGAAATTTTAATTTCAATTCAGGTTAGATTTTTTTTTGTGCGCAGAGACCGTGCCAGCAGTGCGCAATTGCGCACGTGCGCAGCTTAGAGGGAACATTGGTCATGTCCGGTACTATGATACATTTTTCGGGCTCAGTTTATGTTGCTCAATTCAGTGGCACATATTTAAATGTGAAAACTGTTCAGCTATAACAACAGAGTCACCTCCTTATTTTTTAACTGGATTTGAATAAGTCAAGAAAATATTTTTAAGTTAATTATCGGCTCACTGGAATACCGTAATTTCAGTGATTTTACTATCTGGATAAACTAGAGCAGCGTGGAATAGTATACCTCAAGTACCTCAATTTTTACTAGGGAGCAAAGCAAATGTACTTTCAAGCACTGCAGTCTGAATGTGAAGCAGGGTTAACGGGTTAAAGCAGGGTTAACGTCTAGCAAAGCCATTTTCGGAGGGAGTGGGGGAGATACCGGTACTCTTTCAGTAAAAATACAGAGCATAATAAACGCACAGACTGCTGTAACAAAAACTCTCACCCAGATTCCGCAGAGGATCAATGGCCTTTAATTCGGACGTCCCGGCTCCGTTCTTCACCTGGGGGACTGCTTTCTTTCTGTTGCCCAACATACTGTAAAGAGGATGCGCTTTATTTAGCTCTCCGTGCCTCCCTCCGTCCCTGCAACCGTATCCTGCGTTGTGTGTGTGACCGAGGTAGGATGTTGACAGTCTACTGGCTCGGCTGTCAAGACAGTGTATACAAATCACAGAGCAGAGTGCTCCTCATGGTTTTATCCTGCCGGTGGAAAACAAGACACAAGACAAACCTTTGCAATTTCATTGTGGTTGGATTGTAAAGCATCTCTTCCTGGATGATTTTCAAAATAAAACCTTTGCGACGCGCAAACAGGGTAGACCTACCTGTTTCATGTTATTTATTTATATTTATAAAAGACGACTTCTGGACCCACGTAGTCTCTTGAAGTATTTTTTTTTTTAAAATTCGGTTACAATAAAAATAAAAATAGTGTAGACAGAGGCATAATTAAGACCTTGTATAACCATTCTCTGCTTCTCATTCTCTGCTTGTGTCTACAAGATTTAGTAATTTGTATTTGAACATCAATTGATTTTTATTGTTATTTTTATTGAGGGGGGAGAACATGCAAATGTTTTGTCATGTTGTATTCTACTAAGAAAGCTACTGAGACACATTATTGCAGATTCATCATGATTAACTAAATAATCGAAGCATTATTTTAAATTGATCAGAACTGCGAGGTGAACGTTTTCTAATCACGATGCCACATTAGTTATTTATTCGCATTTCCCATGTATTATCACACCTTACCAGAATAATATTTTTTGAAGCTTTTAACCTAAATCTGTGATTTGGACCTTATTATGCCTTTGTTTTGAAAGCACACGTCGATATTTCCGGGGATGTCTTCGTGAAGTTGACAGCAAAAATCATTTAAACGGATTAAAGACCGTGGACAGACGTGAAATTTGAGATGTCCTCGTCCTCCCCATCTGCTAAGATCCAGTTTTAAAAGGGACCACGGTACAAGTGATGCATTCACTGATGTTAATGATCAGCCCCAAAGCTGATTCTTAACATAGTCCTCTGTTAGGGCAGCGGAGGGTTATTATATAATAATTAATCTACAAATCGGGCTGCATGTCCCGCGTTGACTGCAATACATGAAAGTGATGGATGCAAATTAATGCCTCCTAGACTAATTTCGTAATTGCAGGATAATGTTTTAAACAATGCTAACGACAATAAATCTTTTGGTTTATTGATTACTTTGTTTCATAAACGGTTATAGAGCAGGATTAGTTCACTTTGTGTGTCCATGTTGATTAATCGCATCCGCAGTGGAAGAAGTGATGGTAGAGAACTCAGATTTTACCAACTGAAGCCTGTAAACATCAGTCCCAATATAATCAAGTAAAGAAAATGTTTGTCATAACATGTTCCTTGAAATTGACATTATTATTATTATTATTATTATTATTATTATTATTATTATTATTATTATTATTATTAT